GAGAGAGAGAGAGAGAGAAAGTTTAAGAACCGTTGGTAATTCGCGTGATTACGAACGTGATGGAATTATAAAAGGGGCTGAACATTGGCTGATTCCGCAGCGTTATATCTTTAAAATTCGATGAAGAATACAATGATACTTACGATTTCGCAACGATATAATTTTCCAAGAGTTTCGATAATTTTATATTTTCTAGATAAAATCCACGCGCATGCCAATATTGCAATGTCACACCTGACAAATCGTGCATCGCTACTACTGTAAAATGGTAACGACGTCACTCGTTTGCATCGACCTTTATATATTTCTTTATATTTCTAATAGCAATATCGCGTGTTCGTGTGCATCTGTCTGAATAGAAATATAAATATTTCACAATGGTACGAAATTGCTCGTTTACGTACATTTTCATCATTTACGTATTCGCTTCGATAAGTATTGATTAATTTGCATAAGCGAGCTTTGTGTTATCAATTTCAAAAGAGTTAAGTTTTATAAGAATAGGTTTTTAACAATGAAAAAGAAGGTCAAGATCGAGTAAATTGCAGCAATTCGGCGCAATTCACATCCTGTCTTGCAATAATTAATTCGATGTTGTTTTTTGTTTGATCGATTCGATTGTTTCGATCGATTCATTGTTTAATTACAGGAAATTTTCCTCCGCTTTCCTACGTTATCGTTCACGAATTTTGTATTTATTTGATATCTATGCGGGAATCTGAGAGAAACTCTATCGTGTGGAGTAAACGAGAGTTCGAATGTATGAAAGTATCGATATTAATTAAAAAGTATCGATTCTTATATACAAGAAATACAATATAAAGTTAATCCAACTGCGTAAATAAATTTCAAATAATCAGAAGATTCTGATAGATCTGAAAGGCACTTTTAAATTTTCTTGAGGAAGGTTCAGTCAGTTCTCTAATTTCGATAAGTGCCGATAAATCCCACAAGAAACGATAAGCAATAATATAAAGATTTATAACTTTATCGAAGTTTCTTCTAATCGATATACGAGAAAACGAATTGTTTACTTTCAACAATGATGGAATTTTTCATCATCTGTTAAATAAATATAAAATAGCTAAATAAATATATAAAAAAGAAAAAAAAATATTATAATGGACATAATTAGAGAAAAAAAAGAATAAAAACATCGTGCTCGTTTTTCCGAGATCTTTGCTCGTCCATCATCGTTTGTCTTCGATGATCACAAAATCGATGATAATTTCTATTTCTCACGTGGCACACAATTATATTTTATTTTTCATATCTACACTTTTCCCTATCTAACGTATCGCATTTTTCTTTTTGTTTCGAGCTGTTTATTGCAATATTTGAACACGTATCTCGAAGATTATATCGACTGGAAACAGTGGTAGTTAGAAAAAAAATCTACCCTCTTGTTTTGCAACCCCAGCATCCGCCCAGAAAATCAATAGCAAATCTGGTCGCACTCCACTGTGCGGACACGTGGCATAATATTGCACGCGTGCGAAAGAGTCGAGCAATGCAAATATTTAACGAATACTATGTTTTGCAACAGATTTGCAAGGAATAATCATGACCGTTTTGTCGCATTTATCGGAATTTATATTGAACGATACAAAAACGGGTACAATTGCATAGAAAATTAATCGGTCGAAGTGAACCAATGAATACATAAATTTATCGCGATCGACATTGTGCGACATTAAACATAATATATCACAGAGTGTATTAAGTACAGTGATTATTTCGAGTGAAAAGTATTTAATCGATAACATAAGTTTTGCTTCTTCTTTTTATACGTTTGTTTATATAACTTTTTGATAATGATTTTTTGATAAAAACTGGGAGAAAAAATTAAAGCGAGACGAAGCGTGTAAATTAAATTTTTGACGTTAATTTATTTTACATAAAAAAAAAATGTAAGTAACGATAGTAAAATAAAACAATAATTCTATGTTTATCGAAATGATTGATAAAAATAAAAGAAGAATATCAAGATATCGCGATTGAACGATCGTTCAAAATTTGTGTTAATTTGAATTAAATTGATTTCTAGAATTTTCGGATTAGTGACATTGATTAAAATTAAATTAAATGACGGGGAGAATAGAAATATCGCGAGATGTGATTTTTTTTATTAAATTCTCTTTCCAATTAAAAAAAAAAAAAAATAAGAAAAAAAATAATACAAATGAATATTCCATTGTTAAAGGAAATATTTATCGGATATACTGATTAAATTTTATTTTAAAAAATATTTATACAAATATATATCATAGAATGAAAAAAATTTAGAAAGGAAATGTATCGAATCGATATTCGCAATGGACGCAAAGCTATCCTCTTCACCCGAGTGCCGGCGCGCGACTGCCGGAATTCAACTCGTTTCTCTTTCATATTAATTCACTCGCTTTGAACAGACGTCGCTACCTTCTCTATTTTAACGTTATTGAAATCATTTTTTAAAAATACGATGATGCAAACTCAATTATTATATAGAGTTATATATTTAATAATAATATTGATGTTCCACGCTTTTTGTTTACTAAATAAACATCGCAATAATATTTCGAATGTAGGTATTCTTTTGAAACGTTATATAATTCATTTTCTCTTAGACGCATTCTTTGCCACGTTAATGGCTTAATTGCGCGATAATTATTCACACTGGAAATATTGATGCAGCTATAATAATACATGCAGATACAACAGCCGTTTTCAAAAAAGAAGATATTACACGATTCGTTCTTTTCTTTTATTACAGATTCCATTTATTATTGTTCATTCGTATATCTATAGTATATTTCCACGAGCGGAACGGAATTATAATAATATTGATATTATATTTACAAAACTCGGTAATGGTCTCATGTACCGATACGGATATTCCCGATATTGATCGATCTCCTCCTATCTCAGAAATATGCTTGTTCTTTAACGCGTATTTGTTTAAGTATCTTTCACGGTGAATGTTTTTCGATTCTTGTTCCACGATAATCGCCGCCAGAAATTATCCTTATCATAAATTCTCGAATCTGAATGTAAATCTTCTCGATATCAATTTTTTAATTTCAATTTTTTATTTGGAAGATAATTAAATCGAATTTTAATTATCGAAATTATCTAAGTAATAGAGATGACGAGTCAACGAAGGCAATTAATTAAGTCAGTTTCAAAATTATCGTTTCCATCATCGATATTTCTTTATTATTATCGGTGAAGTTTTCGAAAGGGAAATTCCAAAAGAAAGTCGCGAATTCGAATATTATCTACGGATTCGAGGACGACACTTATTTGTCGCGGTCATTATCGTCCACCGAAAAAATGTTATCGGCCGATAAGATGAAGACGCGAGAAAAGAAAATTCGTGGGTGGAATATTTGGTCGATGATGATGAAATCAACGACACTGGATCTCAGCTTCGAGATACATGGCACGCGAATTCTCTATTCTCTATTCCCTATTCCTTTAAACCAAGATTTTTCCGGTCGCTGACCGATTATTCGCGAGAGAGAATCTATAGATAAAACCAACAATAAATTTATTCTTACAAAGTTGCAAAGGCTAATGGAAAAAAACTCAAAGTTGTAAAAACATTTTACGTTCTTACTTACATCCCTTTAATCTATCTTTAGTTTATCTTCAACCGATATTAATACTGAACGAACAAATCAAAAGAATTTCGTATTTTTTGTTTTATAATTATGAAGATCACGAAATTATGTTTTTGAGAAAATTAATATTATCGAGAGAGAATTACATTATACTTGTTTATTTTTACAACATCACTTTAATTAACAATCATTTACATGTAAATATTGGATAGTTAGTTACTAGAGGCCGATTACATGAAAATACAAAGGATCTATTTCGATCCTTGGACAAAAGAAGATCAAAGATATACGTGATAGAAAAACATAATGATGAATTGAAAGAAATGATTACAAGGAGATCGCAATTGCAATAATCTTGGAAAGATATTTCGTCACT